TAAACATCTGTGTTTTGATTGATGCTCCCCAGCTTCATTTTTCTCTGTGAAGAGAGAGAAACCAGAGAGGCATGCATTGCAACAGGAGATCAAAGCACAGCGGCAGAGGCGAGAACTGTTCTGGGCTTGGCTACATTTGACCTTGACCTTGTTGCTTGACCTTGGCCAGGCAGCCTTGTGAAATGAGGGATCTGACCATCCTATTCTCTCCTCTAAGAAAAAGCTTCATGGCTCTGTAATGAGGGTCACAAGGTGATTACCAGCTGCCAATCTGGCCGGAAACCAGGAAGTTCCTTGCTGTAGTATAGTAGCGAAACCTGTATGTTACAAACTTCTTTTGGGGTCAACAAACCCCAACAGGGCTATAGCTGGAAAGTCACACCATTTTTGCCACGGATTAACTTTTCCTCTATTTTTTTTATCCTAAATGTCTTAGATAAAAATGGCACCTTGAAGTCTTAATAACAATTGTCCGTACTGATCAGTGATGGGATAACCTAGCATGAGGCTTCCCAGTGGAATGAACGAATCCAAACTGTTGGTTTTGGATCGTTTATTTCCCTTAGCCAGGTTCTGCGGTATTTCTCTTCTACCATCTTAGAATTCGTTTAGCAACAAAGAAGCCAATGTGTAGTGGAACCTACAATAAAAGTCTGACCCGACCCACTCCTCTAAGATGCAGTCTGGGGTGTGATTATTTCCAGTAGCACACAAAGATCAAGATGTTAGGGTTCATAACACAGCATACAAACCCAAATGCACTTGTTTTTCTCATTCTTTACTAAAGAGAATAATGACTGTTTTCCCCACCTCTGGATGTTTTCCAGAGTGTTTTGAATTAAGCACCGTAGTATTGTATAATAAAGGCAAATACATGTATAAGATTTAGCAGAACAACTTGCTGCCACCAAGACAGGTTGATCTGGATTTGATTTATCTGTAGAAACGCTCCTTCCAGAGGCAGGGCCTGTTATGGGGCAGAGCAGGCAGATTATGGGCGCTGTCTCTGCTTTTCTCCTCTCAGACGTGCGAATTATTTAGCCTGTTTAAAACTTACTATCTCCACAATGTAAAAGTGGAGACAGTATCGGCCCACAGCGTTATTCTAAAGACTAAATGAGATAACACGTGTGAAGTACTTACTATAGTGACAAGCACAGAGTAACTGCTCAGTAAATGGCAGCTATATTTTAGTAAGATTTCCCCTCTACTATCTGCCCTTCGAGTCAGACAGGATGCAATTATTGCCATCTGCAGTGTACATAGGAGGATGCAGAGATTCTGAAGCTTTGTCCTGCTCCAAGCCACACAGTGAGATCACAACGCCAGGATGCCTACGCAGGACTCATGGCTCCGGGGCTCTTTCCACTTCTTACACTTTTCTCCCCTTTAGATTCCAGTAGAACTGATTGTGCTGGGGGTGACTGACTGAGGCGAGAATGTGGATTTAATGTGCCCACGTTATCCTGACCCCTCTGTGTGAGGACTTCAGTGTAAAGAGTAAAGAACACCATAGAAAAGAAACTTGAAAAGGAGGAGGAGAAGTCCGACTTCCAATATTTACTCCCAGACTTCATCATGAAGTAATAAAGTTTTCTCTGCCAAGAAAACTCCCTCTCATCCTTTGAGACTTGGCTCGAGAATTATTTTGTGGGTTCTTCCTCTGGGCTCCCCTCTGTGTACACAGCACACGACTTTCCAATTGCTGCACTTCTGTAGCCCCTGTCCTGCCTCTTTTGGTGGGTTTATTGGGGGTAGGGGGCAGTGGCATAAATATCAGAAATATACATTCATATTTTTGTATAAAATGACGCTCTCATCTCTCCTTTCTTTATGACCTCTTTTCTACCCAAATTTAACTCTAAATTTCATTTTTTTTCTAGCCGAATGTCTCAATGCAGATGAGCATGTTAAATTAGGAGACTCACAATCAAATGTCTATAGAGACGGGTGAGAGAGAATAGGCCCAAGTATGGGAAAAGTCAAGTGGCCTGTCTCTCATTTTCCCACTTTTGGTAGACCAACAAAAACTGATATTTTTCTAATACAAATTGCACTTGATGATAAATGGTAACATTCAACCTCAGTATATGTGTATAAATCACAGGGGATGATGTGAATTGTTGCAAATTGGAAAGCGGATGACCAGTTTGAAGGGGCAGAGGTATTTTCTTCCGAATACCTGTTGCCTTGTGGAAATCAAGGACAGTATTGCTAAATACCCTCTATTTTATTTTCAAGTAAAGGTTGAAATTTTAATTTTTATGTAAAACCAGTTTTTTCATTTTGGCTTAGATTTAGCTAAAATTCTGAGCCTGCTAAGTGAGTCATAAATGGCCCCAACTTGGCCAGTTTGCAGCCTCTGATTTTAATAATGGGTCACAACTAGTATCAACATAAAATACTGGTTTGAGAGATTTTTAAGAAGAGCCTCAGCCCTGGCTGGTGTAGCTCAGTGGATTGAGCGCGGGCCTGCGAACCAGACAATTGTGGTTCGATTCCCAGTCAGGGCACATGCCTGGGTTGCAGGCCGGTTCCTTGCAGGCCAGTTCCCAGCAGGGGACACACCAAAGGCAACCATACATTGATGTTTCTCTCCCTCTCTCCTTCCCTTCCCTTCTAAAGATAAATAAATAAAATCTTAAAAAAAAAAAAAAAAGAAGAAGAGCCTCTGTGCTAGCAACCTGGGGTTCATTTCAGAAATTCTACTACTGAACATCCTTGCGTTGAATTAAAAAGGGGTTCTCTATTCAAAATGAGTATCTCTTAGCAAGTGACATATTAAGTTATTATTAGTTATGTGAACCTTAATGTAAATGTTAAAATTTGATTTCTTTAAACTATTGGATAGATACAACAGGCAAAGATAAGAAAACTGAGCAGAGCATACAAATTTGGAGGAACTAGCCACCCAGGGATAGGAAAGAGCTAAAAAACATGAGTTAGAGTCTAAAATTAAATTTCTACTCCATGATATAATTTTCAGCAGCCCTTGACCTTAAACTTATAATGATAGTTCCAGCAAGCAACCATTGTTCTTTTCATAAATTCTAAAAAAAAAAAAAAAAAAGGGAGCCTGGCTGGTGTGGCTCAGTTGTTTGGAGTGTCGTCCAAAAGGCCATGGGTTCAATTCCAAGTCAGGGCACATATCCAGGTTGCGGGTTCAATCCAGGTCAGGAGGGTGTACAAGAGGGCCACAAATTAATGAAGTTTTGCTCTTTCTCTCCCCCCACTTCCTCTTTCTCTAAAAAATAAAAAGAATGTCCTTGGGTGAGGATAAAAATATTTTTTTAAAAATGGAGACATTCTTACTTTTGATGGAATGTTCTTTAATTCGTTCAGTTTTCACATGACAAGATGTGAAGTGGCAAAGTTACATGTAGTAGCATAAATTACATATATGAAGCTCATACAAAAACCTATCATATACATTTCTTCTGACAGCTGAAATGTTAAGTATTGAGTCCTAGTTGAAATGCATCTAATGCTATTAACCCATTAATATTGGGTTGGCCAAAAAGTTTGTTTTTTTGCCATAAGATGGTTCTAGTAGTGTTTAGTTGTCTTTAACTTCATTCAAAATAATTTCATTAGATTGTATTGTGACAGCTGTCATATCAGCATGCATTAAAAAAACTTACCAAAATTGGTGAATTTTTGTGTAGCCATTTTAATATTGAGGATCGAAGAAAATACACAACATTTTTTGACATATTAAGCTTCATTATTTCAAGAAAGGTAAAAATGCAACTGAAATGCAAAAAAAAAAAAAGAGATTTGTGCAGCATATGGAGAAGGTGCTGCAACTGGTCGAACCTGTCAGAAGTGGTTTGAGAAGCTTCGTGCTAGAGATTTTTTGCTGGATGGGCTCCATGGTTGGGTAGACCAGTTGAATTTGATAGCAATCAAATCGAGAAGTTAATTGAAAACAACCAATGTTCTACCACATGGGAGATAGCCCACATACTCCAAATATCCAAATCAATAAAGTTATTGGTGAAAACGGAAAATGTGTCTGGTCTTTTATGGAAAAAAACTTGACAGACTTTTTGGCTAATGCAGTATTTCAGCAGAGATGGCAGGACTTTTCCTATGAAGACTTGAGCCCTATAGGGGCAGCCTTACTTCAGGGCATTTAACTTCTTAATGGAAGGGCAGAAGAGAAGCCTCAAACCAGGAATGGAGAACTGATAAAGTTAAAAAGTACAATCTTTGCCCTCATTTTGCCTGTGGCTAGTTTTGTGAGTAGATGTAACAGTGTCATTTCCTTCCCTGAAAATATTCTTCTTCTCTTACCTACTGTAGAAGAAGAAAAATAATAACTTTCCTTCTACTCTTCTAAGTTCTTCCAGCTGGTCTAATAATGAAATTGACGGGAGACAGATGAGTAGGAAAAATAACCCATTTTATCATGTATGCATATGTGGGGTTCAGTGAGAATATGGGACCAGAGGACAAATCTGGTATCCGAGGCTTACATGCCATCTTGAGCTAAGGAGAAGGGGGACTGTGGTTTCATACTGTCCTGCAAACTGCTTAAAGGTCAATTACTTTCTAGACCTTCTTGGGTGAAGTTGGCCCCTCTCTCCATTAGATTCACTGCACAGTACTTTGTTTCCTTCTGCACTAGTCACAGTCTAGTAACACTGATTAAGTCCCTTGTCTCAGACAGAAAATATGGATCCTCCAACGCCTACCACAGCATCTGGCTCATAAAATGCCTTCGATCAATACTTTCCCCCCCCAAAAAAAGAAAAAAACAAAAGAAAGCATTTAAGGAAGGTGAATTTAATTTGAATTAACTTTTAGTGAACTTATGTCAGGCATAAGTCTCTGCCTATTTTACTAATACTTAGCTCATACTTTCATAGACTAAAGATTCCAAAATCCTTTAAATCCCATGCCATTTTTTCCTTTTTTTTAAAACCTCTTATCGCGCATGCGCGGCAGCACACGCTGCACATGCGCAGTTCTGGCGCTGCCGGGCTGAGGTGGGCACTGTCGGGCTGAGGTGGGCACTGTCGGGCTGAGGTGGCCGCTGCCCTGAGTTGGGGGTGGCCCCGCTGCACTATGGCCGAGGCCAGCGGGGAAGTCGTCGTGGTGTCCCCGTCCGGGGCTGCCAGCGGCCTCAGCAATGGGGCAGGCGCGGCCTCGGCGCAGACCAGCAATCCGCTGTCGCGGAAGCTGCATAAGATCCTGGAGACGCGGCTGGACAACGACAAGGTAACCGGGGCTGGCAGGGTCGCGGGCGGCCCGCGGGCGGAGCCGGGCCGGGGCGGGGTCTGGGCGGCTCCGGGTTCCTCGCCCCTCGCCCCTCGCCCCTCGCCCCTCGCCCCTCTCCCCTCGCCCCTCGCCTTGCGAGGAGGGGAGCCCAGCCCCGCGCCCGAGCTTGCGGGGGGCGGGGGAGGCCCTGGGCATTACTTCTATTTACAAAGGTTCCGGGACCCAGTGGTGGAGCCCCTGCCCCCTCGGCCGGGTTCGGGGTCCGAGCAGGCGGGGAGGAGGGCAGAGCCCAGGGCAGGATAAGGGGGTCAGGGGTGGTAATGATCGAGCATTAAGGTTATTTCTGATTTTTGCAATTCGAACGGTTCTGCAGCGAGTAACCTCGTTCAGACGCTGCAATGCACAAGTCAGTAAATCCTCATGGTGTTTCAGAAATGTTTCCTGTCCAGGGGTGTGAAGCTCATTCAGCATTTTGGAGGTTGTTTCATGGAAACACACGATTTGAAAATGATCTTATAGAATTTTGGTTAGATGAGGAAAACCTTTGAAAATTGATCCCGATCACTTTCTTCTGTCATCAATTGTTTAGGAGATGTTGGAAGCTCTCAAGGCCCTTTCAACCTTTTTTGTTGAAAACAGTTTGCGGACTCGAAGAAATTTACGTGGCGATATTGAACGCAGGAGCTTAGCCATCAACGAAGAATTTGTAAGCATTTTCAAGGAGGTGAAGGAAGTAAGAAAACTCTTCATTAAGCTTTTATTGAACATGTACTATATGCCTGGCTTTTTGCTAAGTATACTTATGAATTAGGTTGACATATCTGCTATACACATACCATGTTCAAGTAGAAAACGTAACTATTTGCTCCAGAAGCATCTAGGTCTGTCTTTGGATTAGTATGGTTTCTGAATCTGTGATTTCCACTAATGCTGGTTCTTAGGACATTATAACATTTGTTATAGGATATTCTCTTAGGAATTTTAGCTTCTTTAACAATTAAAAAAATAACATTTCTCCAAATGGTTTTCCACTAGTGATATTCCCTCACTGAATAAAATTTCCTTGGATAAGCACTTCTCCACTGGCGATAATTAAGATTGGGTTACTGTAATGCATCCTATATTATAAAAGTTTCAGAATAATGAAGATGAATGCTACAATGTGTAAATTATGAATACTACCATAATGATTCATGGTACTCGAGTAAGCAGTCTACTCATCAGTGGATAACAATGCTTTTATTTTTATATTCTATTTTTCATGATGTAGTATGTTGTTATGTCACATAGTAATATTACCTAGTTAGTATTTCTGTGTGAGTTGTATGAAAGAGTTATACATGATTTCGATGAGTACTTCATAAAAACATTGTTAACAGTTTGGTAGGATCTCACTGACTCAAGAGTAATAATCTGGAAGGTTGAAAGGCAAGCTTAGTAGTGTTCACCAAGATGGGGAGAAGGAGCAGTGATGAGTGGAAAACATCTAAACGGTGTTTTCCAAACACCCTTCCCACAAGGAAGCAGTCCGCTGTTGGGAAGGTGTCAAAAAGACTGCAGCTACTTGGAGGGGCTTCCACTGGCCAACCCTAGGATGGTTTGAGCAGCAGTAAGAATAACTCAGTGAACTGAAGCCCATGAAACATGCTTAAGACCGTGAATTCACAAGGATACTGAAAACTGAACAGAACCTTCATTGGTTGGTTATCTCTGGGAGATATACGGGAACCAACTTACTGTTTTGAAAACTGCTGAGTACAAGGAACATTTATCTTGACTTTTGCACCAACTGTGTGCAGTTGTTGAGGGCAAGGTTTCCGTTATAGAAATGTTCAATAATGGAAAGAATTATTGGCAGAATTAGATTAGAAGTTGCGGCCACTCTTTGTCAGCCTTGGCATGATTGGCGTTTTTGAGGACTACCTGTATTTTGCCATGTATAATGCACAGTTTTTTGCCCAGATTTTTGAGGGGAAAATAAGGATGTGTATTACACATAAGTGGTTCTAATTACATACCTATAAAAATGTTTCTGATTCTTTTATTTATGCTTATGTGTTTGAAGTGTAACTCTAGAAAGTAATAATAATATCCGTCTGCAAAATAATACCCTGGAATATAGTCACTTATTTTGCTTCTAAATATAAATAAATAAATAACTGAATTAAAAAATTAAGGTGAGAGATTTTTTTCCCCGGAAAGCTTGGGCCAGAAACATGGGTGTGCATTGTAGACAGGAGTGCATTACACATGGCATAATACGGTGTCCTCTGCACTGTGGAGGGGTCCACCGCATCCCTGGCCTCTGCTCACTAGACGCCAGTAGCACTACCTTCCCCCTGGTTATTTCAATCAAAAATGTCTCCAGACAATGCCGGATGCCCCCTTGGGGGCCAAACTGCCCCGGCTGAGAACCCCTGATCTAGCCTTTGGTCATCTCTGGCTGCTAACCTCACAAAAAGAGGAACCATATATGTGATTATTAATAAAGGTATACAACACCAGACTTCTTGCCAGAAAATTGAACCAGATATAATCAAGCTTCTAGATCTAATAGCCAGTTTATAGGAAATACAGGGGGCAGAGGGGTGTGTTCACACCGTGAAGATTCATTCAGTAAAATCTGCAATGTCAGGAACTGTATGGGCAAGTGAACTGGTTTCTTCAACAAATAAATCATAAAAAAAAGAAAAAGAACTAGGGAGGAGTAAGAATCTGTGTATTAAGAAATAAGAGAAATATTCAATTAATTACTATTTGTGAATCTTTTTTGCTTCCTGGTTTGAACAGAGTGACTTGAAAAAAATTGAGACAAGTGGGGAAATTTGAGCACTGACTAAATATTTGATATCAAGAAATTATCATTATGTGTTTAGATGTGAAAATATTGTTGTGTTTTTTTGATCCTCTTAGAAGTACATATGGGTGTGTTTGTGGGTGAAATTATGTGATATCTGGAATTCAAAGTGGTTCAGTGTGTAGGGGAGGAGCGGAGGATGGGGAGGTAGGAAGAGATGGGGGAGAGGACACAGAAGTGGTCCCGAGTTGGTAACTGTAGAAATCGGGTGATATGTACTTAGGCATTCATATTTTCTCAACTTTTAGACATCTTTGAAAATCATCCCATAATGAAAATACAGTGATGTATACACCAGGGGTGTAAATGATAGGGCTGAGTGACCGGTTAAGTTCATGTGGGTTTGGGGGCTGGAGGTGGAAACAGAACAATTTACTTAGGAGCCTGTCGCCCAGAAACAGCCGTTGGCAGTGGTTTAATGCACGGCCTTCCCTGTGTTCTTTTGCACATATTATCCTAAAAGTGGGGAGGTGTTGTGTGTTGTTTCATTGCACTTTTCTCACCTATACAGGCATTTTGCTGGGTCAGTAAACATACACGTGCACATGCACAATCAGTGTTAACGTTTGCACAGATTTCTGTTGTGTGGTTGGAAAGGTTTCACACTTTCCGTCTGTTGTAGGCAGCTCGGTTGGTTGTGCTCTTTCGTACCTTGCTGCACACTCAGCCGATGAATTCCTTAAAGTCTTGGCGTTTCTGAACAAAGAGGTGTTAAAAATTTAAATATTTGCTGTTTTTTATTGCTGCACCATCTACAAAGAATATACTAGTTTTTTTTAAAGACTTTATTTATTTTTAGAGGGGAAGGGAAGGAGAGAGGGAGAGAAACATCAATGTATGGTTGCCTCTGGTGAGTCCCCTACTGGGAACTGGCCTGCAACCCAGGCACGTGCCCTGACTGGGAATTGAACTGCGATCGTGTGATTCACAGGCCCGCGCTCAATCCACTGAGCTACATCAGCCAGGGGAAGAATATACTAGTTTTTTAATACATCTTTTTAGCACTGTAAGTTACTCTTTATTCATTCTCAGGCTTAAATGTGAGGTCTTTTGTCGTGTTTTGGTGGAAAAATTCATGGGTGGGAAGTCAGGATTCGGCGAAGAGAAGAGGACTTCTTTAGCAGTGCGTTTAACGGTGCCGTCTCTCTCCTTGCCAGGAACTGGAGAGCATAAATGAAGACGTCCAAGCGATGAGTAGCTGCTGTCAAGATATGACAAGTCGCCTACAGGTGCTGTGGAATGGCTTGGCTTTAGCATTGTCCCTGGCACAGAGTGAGCTTTCAGAGATTGTTGAGTGGGCTTACAGAATGTATGGCCGTCTACCACACAGTGCTCTGCAGGAAGTTTGAATGTAAATATTGAATGTAAATATTTGTACTTCTTTGCGTGATGGTTTACGGATATTGGTAACTCCAGAAGCCTTGATATTTTGATCTCACTGCGTAGAATTTTGGTAAACCTTCCCTATGAATGTCCCATAAGTCCAGCAGAAATGAATTGAGGAAATATTACGTTTAAAAAACCATACAACACAAGATCTTCCCAGCAGAGTGACCCTGGGGGAGATAAGCACTTGAAGCAGTTACTAGATTTAAAGAGTGGTGGTCTCAGAAGAGTACCGAGGGAGCTGCCACGTTCGGCTCCCTTATCAGAAGTTCAAAGTCTGCTGAACCATCTCGGTTCGAATCTGCTTTCTTAAAAATACCGACTATTTGCTGGGCTCTTGATTTGGTTGCAAGGAACACAGGTTCATAATGGCTTCAAGTAGAGATGGGTGGGACTGTGACTTTCTGGCGGGAGGTGACAGTACGTCTCTTTGACAATCTGGGATGAGGCGTCTGAGGGCCCAGAACTTGGTGGTGCTGGCTGGCAGGGCGGGGGGTGGTATAGAAACGTTTGAGTTCTGGAGTGTGATCTCATTTGCTGTGAGTCTGAACTCCAGTAAGTATTACTGTTCATTTTTTGAAGTGTAATAAAATTGAAATGTACTGATATTAGATATGTTCACAATTTTAGGCAGCCAAGGAGCAGACGCAAGACTTAATAGTCAAAACCACTAAGCTTCAAGCTGAAAGGTAAGTTTTTCCTTGTGTAGTCACTCTTCATTGGTTTGAAGATTAAATGGAAAGAAAATGATAGATTAAACTAAATCAAAGTTCAAATAATAAAAAACCTGATTCAAAATCGATACAACATATAAGGTTCTGAGCTATTATTGTCCAAGAGTAAAATAAACATTAAACAGTAGCTTAGGAACATTAAGCTTGATCTTGAGGTTAAGGGATTATTCCTTTTTTTTGGTATTGTTTCTGTAGAAGTAAAAAAAAATGATTTCTTTTAGAAATGTAGATATTTTTAGATTTTTAATAATTTTTTTACAATGAGTTTCTCTTATTTTTTACTTATGACTAATATTCTCTGATACAAGCAAAAGTTAATGGTATCGATTCTTCTTGGAGTAGTTTATAAGTAGGCACACTAATATTTGCTCACTGATTAGATGTGTGACTGGAGGTGAGTGTAATACAGACGTGTATGTTACAGTCCCTTGTTTCCTGTTGGTTGATTGTTTCTCTCTTCCTGTCAAACTTGAGCTCCTCGAGAGCAGTGACAATTTCTTATGCTCCTTGTGTCTCCTGTGCCTAAAAAATTTTTGAGTGGATGAATATGGAATGCAACTATTTTAACATCAGGAAGGGAACATAAAGCAAAAACGGAAAAACAAGCATTGTAATGGAGTTTTTGACATATATGTGTTTCCAAGTGCAATATTAGAACATTGTGCTTGTAATCCTATCTTCTCAAAACTGTTAAATAGTTTTGGCTATTTTTTTTAACAAGTGAGGATTTATTTTTATCTTCTAAAAAGACATTTGGAGCTTAAGGTATGTAATATTGTTAAAGAAACCAAATGTAATACTCTGATTCAAATAAACCAACGGTGGAAAAAGTGATCAAGAAAATCTGAAACTGACCATTTAATTGGTGATATTAAGAGATGCTGGAACTCAATGAGCAGCAGCAGCTATTCTGTGACCATGAGGTGAAAAGCATGACAGAGGGCTGAGAGAACCCCAGCGACATTGGCCTGCCGTATTTGAACTGACACCCAGAACGTCGTTCATTCTGCAGCTCAGGCCATTGCATTAACACGTAGGCAGGACATCAGGACGGCCCTCATCCCATTGCCAGTTCCGTGTTAGTAGTTCACGCAGAGCAGCGCGGAGGCTGGGAGGCTGAGCATCTGAGCTCGAGAGAGCACAGGGTCAGGTAGGAGAATGGGAGGGAGCAACCACAGTGAGGGCCACATGTTCTTAAAGAAAGGACACTTATGCAGCTGTAATTGAAAAATAAAAAAAAGATAAAACATTTTAAAGAACACTTGTGTTCTTAGTAAGATAAAACATAAGAAATGAACCACACCTTGAATTTTTGCCATTTTTTTAAGGTTTAAAAAAATTTTCAATTACAGTTGACATACATTATTATTATATTAGTTTCAGGTGTACAGCCAAGTGATTATTAGACGTTGTATAGCTTCCTAAGTGATTATCCCAATAAACTCTTCACTCTGACAGCAAACATACTAGAATGTTACTGACTATTCCCTGTGCTGTTCTTCACGTCCCTGTGCCTGTTCTGTGGCTGCCAGTCTGTTCTTCTTCATCCCGTCACCCAGTCCCCCACCCCCTCCCATCTGCAACCACCGAAACGTTCTCTGTATCTGTGAGTCTGTTTCTGTTTTGCTTGTTTGTTTACTTTGTTTTATAGATTCAGTTGTTGTTAGGTTTATACTTATTGCCATTTTATCGATCATATTTTTAATCTTTTTTTTCTTCTTCATATAATACTGGTTTGGTGGTGATGAACTCCTTTGGCTTCTTCTTGTTTGGGAAGCTCTTTATCTGTCACCGTCCCGGCCACCCTCCAGCGTAGTTACTCCTGTCTTCCCTGCCCTGTCCTTGTTCTTCCGCTTTGTGACCTTCAGGGCATTAGCATGAGCTTCCCAGGAACAGGCCGCTGAGGCCAGAGCGCCTCTGCTTTCCTGTGAGAGTTTCTGGAATTCATTTCCCTTTGCCTTTCCTCTTTCCCATCTAGAAGGGGCTTCTGGAACTGGATGCCACCAACTGAACAGTGCACCCGAGGATGCCAGGGGGGCTGCTGGGTGGGCTGGAACAAAGGCCCCTGACCTCCAGCCTTCTCTCTCCCCTCTGAGCTTCATGCCTGGCTAGAGTCATGTCCCTGGATGCACTCAGATTTGCTCTCACTACCCAGTTCATACATTAATGTGAAATAAAGTAGTTTAAAAAGGAGTATTAACAAAACCTGTTAAAGTACATTTGCATAATCAGCAATATGATGATTAAGGACATATGCCATTTAAATCTGTGTAGATTTAATTAGGTGTTTTAAGTTATCATTTGATATAAACGGAACATTACTGCCACCTGGAGGAATTTTCCTTTTCTGTTTTTATATTATTCTGCAGGATATTTGACTGTGGCTTAAAAACCTTACAGGCACAAACAAAACAGAGATAACACACATTGAATTGTCTCTGGAAATAGTGTTGCCACTTACATCTTTGGTCAGTCTCTTTTGGGTGTTACTAGGTTGTAGAACATCGCCGCCCTGTGAACACTGCTGGCGAGACACCCACGGCTTCATCTCTGCAAATCTGTGCCCTGGAAGCCGGGGTGGCGAGGGTGTGCGAAGGCAGCTCCCATTCCTCACCTGTCAGGTCCCCCTTGCAGGTTGCATTCCCGGGTGTGGTGCGCCTTTTCCTAATTTACAGCTCGTCCCAGTAGGTTGCATTCAGTTAATATATTTTAAAAGACTTTTTTATTGCCACAGTATGCAGAAAAAGCCAGTCAGACAAAAGGGGAGAACTGACTTTATAGAGTTATGAGGAATTAGTAAATTGACTTCTGTCTCTATCCTAAAATAAAAACAAAACAAAAAAACAACAGACCTGATATTTGGTGGTTGTGTACTTCACGTGAAAACTTCAAAGGCTTAGGAACTTTTACTGCCTGCGATGAAAACAGCTGGAAATGGGCATATTTCTCTCCAGTAAGACAACCTTATTATCAAGTGAACTATTCAGGTGCCTGTAAGTGACTGAGGACTTGTAACATAGGGACCTTTTGTGAATGAACTTCATAATCAGTAACTGCTTACTGTGTGCAAGTACCTGGGGTGGAACGTTATCAGCTAATTTTATCACCTACCCGATGAGCTTCCAGGATTGGAGGCAGAAATGGGACTTTGGAAGACATTGAGAATCTTTCACACCTTGGCTTTAAAGTTAGAATGTCAGAGACGTGATTGCGTTAAAGCTGTGCAGATGCACAGTGTGCGTGATTTTTACTGCTTGTTTCTGTTCATGTTACAGTCAAAGGTTAGAAATAAGAGCGCAAGTGGCCGATGCTTTCTTGGCCAAGTTCCAGCTCACTTCAGAAGAAATGAGTCTGCTCCGAGGTGTGAGAGACGGACCCATCACTGAGGTATCTTGTTTCGGTTACAGTCATTTAAAGGGTAGCAGTTGTGGGTGCTACAGAGAAAAGTAAACACTTTATTTTACCATCAAAAATGTTTTTCAGTTTGGAAATTAAGATGCATAGTTTAAATTACTTTAATGTTTTATTTTTTTCAAAGCAGTATGTGTGTACTTTTTACAAAGAAGCACAGTACCAGGCTTTTAAAGAAAATCCACATCACCTTGTCCACTCCTGCCATCTATTTCAACTGTGTTAAATGCTTCTTTTGTAAATTCTGCATTCTAGGTCTATAGTTAGAAATAATCAGCTTTTAATGTAGTGGGAATGGAAAGGCAGTAAGTCCCCCAAGCAGACACATTAAAGATCAGTATTAGTTTTGTCTTTTTTTTTTAACTTTTTAAAAATTGTTGAATTACAGTTGTTCCCGGCCCCATCGCTCTTCCCACTGTTAGTTATTTGTACTAAATTTAGTGCTTTTCTCCTCTTATCCTGGGGCAGGGGCTCTGTAGGGTGTTAAATCAATTATAAAAATCAAGTATATGTTCTTCCATTAAAAAATGTATTTTAATGACCTGCGTTAACTATTTTCTGTTGATTTCCTATCATGGAATCCGAGGACTCCGCCCCCACTAGACCCCTCTCTGGCGCAGATGGTCTCTTTCTGTCGCGCTTCAGTGTCCAGTGACGTGGCACTTTCTGTTTGCAGGACGGTGACATTACAATGGTTACCTGTCCTTTAGTTCACACCTCTTTGTCTTTCCTGGAATTAGAAATTCCTTAGTTTTTCCTCTAATTAATTTTTAACCTAGACCATTCTTTCCAGATCGACACAACTATAAAACCTCTCAAAATGCTGAAAACAGAGAAACATTTTGTTTACTTATTTTTTACTTGAAAGACATTCCGTTTTTCCAGGAAGGAATCTTTCCTTCTCCTGCCTGGGAGGAGCTACATGAAGAGCTCTTGAGGTGGGGGCGGGGCCTCCCCAGGGGCTGCGACTGCAGCTGCACCTGCAGCTGCACCTGTGTGGAGGGAGTGGGGGAGGGGAGAGGATGGGTAGGAACCTCACCAGTATTTGCTGCCCTTGTCATTTGAGGCACTTCCTCCATGTCAAATATTTGACATCTCGCCTTTCCTCCATTTGGTAGAAATAATAAACAGTATTAGAGGAGATGTTCTTTTATTTAAATTTTATTCTTCAAAGAAAAATAGCACATTCACTGTTTTTAGGTTTGGAACACTTCTTGGCTCTCTGGAAGCTGTGGCTCCAGTTAGGTTTTCCTAAAAATAGCTTGGAGGCCAGCAGCTGTCAGCTCCTGCATATTTAGTGAGCATCTTTTATGCACCCAACCTTGCAGTCGCTCTTGGATGTGAGGGCAACAGCAGGTATACAAAAGAGATACAAAACATCACCTTTATTGACGAGAAAGCCGCACTTAATTAAGTCGTAAGATGTGTGATACGTAGCATATTTTGCTTTATGTCATAATCTTTAGATTTGGGTTTCTCTCACACTAGACTATGCACTTGCTAAGGACAGGGTTTTTTTTCATTTAAGTTTTGTGTCCCTGGCAGCTGCACACAATTTGGCATATAGTAGACATTGAACTAATGTATGTTTTAAAATTTGAATCAATGTATTACACTTTATATAAAAATTTAGAGAAAGTTGAAAACAGTATAGAAAGGATCAGAGTAGGTGAAAGTATGTTTTTCCTTTGTAGTGATGTTTCATTTTAGAGTAACGTACTTTTATCTGAAAACATTGACATTTTAAAGTTGCACTCTTAATTTTAAAGGATTTTTTCAAGGCACTGGGAAGAGTAAAACAGATTCATAATGATGTCAAAGTTCTCCTGCGTACAAACCAGCAAACAGCCGGGTGAGTAACCATTTCGGTTCGCAATTGCCTTGCCTCTTATATTTCCAAAATTTAAAAAACATTCTGGGTTCTTGCTGAAAATGTTTCACTTTATGTATCTTTGGGTAAGGAGGGGTTATAGCCAGATGTGCTTAGAGTAAAACAGCCATTGGATAACAGAGTGACACTAAGAAAATCTGACATTTGTTTACTTATAAAAAGTGGAAAAATCATTTTGTACAATGATAAAAAGCTAACATGACGTAACCAAATCCTTCTGTAATTAAACGAAATAACTGGGTTCTTAGATGTGGGCTGTTGGCTACAAGTTTAAGTTCGAATACATTCTCATTTGTTTATCTTTTAGCTTAGAGATCATGGAGCAGATGGCCTTGCTTCAGGAGACAGCCTATGAGAGACTGTACCGCTGGGCTCAGAGTGAGTGGTGTCTTTCAGGTGGTCCGGGTTTGCGAGTGTCCGTGTTAGAATTTCTTGTCTTACTTGGTCTTTATTTCATATAATATTTTGATTTTAGTTATCAAAAATATTTTTAGCCCTGGCCGGTATGGCTCAGTGGATTGAGGGCCGGTCTTTGAACCCACAGGTTGAGGGACTGGGTTGCGGGCCAGGTCCCTGGTTTCGGGGCGCGCTCTAGGCAACTGATCCATGTGTCTCTCACATACCCATGTTTCTCTTCCTCACTTTCTCCCTCCCTTCCTCTCCGTCTAAAAATAAAGAAAATATTTACAAAAGTTTTTAAAAGGAAGAACAAACTTTACGTTTGAACATACTGTCTTTATGTTTGTATTATGAACACCTAAACCATTCAAGCCATATGTTGATTAAGGATGGAAATGGGAAAAAGAAGTCAGTATTTTTAGATTGTTTTATCTAATGTAGATTATTTTGAAGTTGATTAGATATCTCTTGTTACTTACATACATCTATTATAAATGGTGAAATAATTTTTCATTGTGAGTGTAACAAGTTGCCACAAGTGACGCAGACGCCACCAGCTTACTCTCTTGTGTGCGGTGGTCGAGAAATCCGATGGGGTCCCCACTGCACTGGCACCGGGGGGTTGGCTTGGCTCCCCCACTGCTGAGGCCCTGAAGCGTGGGGCTCCGGGGTTGAGCCAGCCCGCTGGCTGCCACGGAGGGCTCACCTGGGGCTTCAGCCTGCAGTTCTCCGTCTTTAAAGCCGGTGTCGGGGGATGGAGTCCCTCTCTGACTTGGATTCTCTCGTGAGTCTTCTTCCCTCTGTATCTCCGAGTCAGGCTTCCGCCAGCCTCTTTCACTTTTAAGTCCGGGGTGGTTCCCTTGGACCCGCTTAGCTAATCTGGGAAAGTTGCCCTATTGAAAGTTCTGTCGCCTTAGTTGCATCTGCAAAGTCTCTCTGCCACGAAGGTGACCCATTCACAGGTTCCAGGGACTGAGGATATTCTGCGGGCCATTACTTTGCACACACCACACATGGTTGCTGTAGTTTTGTTTCAGAAAGTTCACAGAATTGCCTGTGAAAACCAAAGGAACGGGAGCACAGGTATTTTCAAAGGTGTGACCAGCTGACTGCTGGGAGGCGGGGGGCCAGCCAGCCCCGCACCGCGCCGCGGAGACCTGGGTGTCCGGGTCAGCAGGCTCACTCTGCCTCTGGAACAGACCCCTCCAGGGTTTCTTCTTCTCCCTCTCCGTGTGCACTGTCTGTTCCTCCTGGGACTGTCGACTCTTTCTGTGTATCGTGTACGAGTCATGCCTCAGTCTTCGAAGCTGAGTACAGGTTCTGTATTTGCTTGGACTCTCCATGACTGCCTTGACTTACACTGGCATTTCCCCATCTCTGAACACTAAGCGTTGGACATACTTATTTGACATGCAGTAACTTACACTCTGTCATTACTCTTTGCGCACGTATATCTTTGCTGTCTAGTTAGATTTCTTTCTCAAACGCAAGGCCATGGCCTCAGATTTCTTTGCGCTCCCATGACCTCTGACCTAGTGGTTCCAAACTGTGGGCCTTCGACGCCTGGGAGCTGTAGGTGCCTCCGTTCTCGTGCGTGCGGATCTGTGAAGATGTGCACGTGTGCTGAAACCGCAGCGTGAGTGTGAGGTCCTCGTGCACCGAAAGTCGGGGATTCTTGAACAAGCGCGAAGTTCTCTGGATGTAGTGGACCCTTAATAAGTATAGCGAAGTAAAGAAACCTGGGTGTAGGGACTTTTGAAAGTTAAAAATCCACACTTTAAACCTTACCGCTGTATCTGAGCCGTCCACACGCACGTTTTCAGCGTGCTGCACACAGCTCACTTGTAGGGGAAGGAGCCGGTGGTGTGTTCGCACCTCCCCCTGCCTCAGACGTCCCCAGTGCGTAGCAGTATTCAGTGGACACCTTCTTACTGATTGGCTTTTTAGAACTGCAGTTTTTTTAAAATAATAATGAAGTAGAAGTTTGGGGTGTACCAGACAGCCTCCGTGGTCCTTCAAACTGACGTGAATACGTGGGCTTAAGTGTTGGGCTTGGTTGGCAGCAGAAACCAGTCCTGGTAGACGTGTCCTCCGGGTTTTCCCGGGCAGGGTGTTAAAGCGATGTTTGCTGTAGGATTTAGACGCGGGTGTGCGGAGACCCAGTCGGGACCTAACTGACTTCACGGGCCGTCTGTTCCTTGTCTCCCAGGCGAGTGCCGAGCGCTGACACAGGAGTCCTGCGACGTCTCTCCCGTGGTGACGCAGGCGATGGGAGCCCTGCAGGACAGGCCTGTCTTGTACAAGTTGGTGACTTTTCCTAATTAAAGAAGAGAAGCCCTGCTCTTGCTTTGATAATTTACATTAACTTTTGGTATTATTAAATACAGTAGTTTGAGCGACGTTTATAATAACTTACACTGATATTTTTATCTCGTATTATGTGTATGTCTCAATGCTGGTGTGGGTTTATTGGCCTGTTCTATGCTAAAGGCGGCAGCATGGAGGGGAGACCAGGGTGTCCCTGCGTGTGGACTGCCCCTCGCCCCTAGGCACAGGTTGGAGGGCATTTCCCCAGTCTGCCTGCTCATGGGCTGCCCTGGAGTTGTCCGTGGAGCTCCCGTAGCAGCACTTCCCTGGCAGACTGGGGGCAGGTGGAGGGCCGAGAGGGGAAGACGTTTAAATTGTGCCGATGGGGTTCCAGGTCTCTGACCCCGTGAGTTAGGCTGGCCCAGAGCCGTGTGGTAACGCTTGAACGGGAATCCACGCGTTATTAGAGCATTAGCTCCCTGAGCTCGGTGAGTGTGGCATCGCCCCCAGATTCATATTTGTTCACAAGGGCAATCTTTTTTTAAAGAAAACATCTTTGTGTGTTTTGGACATTTGAAGAGGTCAGCCGAATTCTACCACGTAAATAGATTTTCACTAGATATTAGTTTCTGATCAACACTTGGAAAGGAGCCATGCTGTGCAGTGGTTTGGAAGGTGGGCTCTGAGTTAGCGTTTCGACAGGCCTCTGCATCTTAATAAGCCTCTGTCTCTTTGGCTGTAACACGAGGATAGAAACAGTGCCTGTATTACAAGGTCCTTGTGAAGATTAAATTAGATTTTCCACGTAAAGCGTTTAGCACAGTGCTTTGCTCATCACTAAATATTAGCTATTATTTCTATTTTGAAAAGGGGTAAACTTCTTTGAAAGTTGTCAACCAAGGAGGAGCGTGTGGTGACAGCCAGGAACAGCTTGGGCGGGACCATAACCGAGAGGAGAGGAGGTTGATCTCTGACGGGTGCATGCCAGGGGGACCAGCGAGGGAAGACAGGTGGAGAAGGATGGGTTCAAGGCCAGTCGACTGCCACGGGGGAGGGGAGAGTGCCAAAGAAAAGAAAATCCGCCTTTCGTTAAGTAACTGTGTGTTTTCAAAGTGGTAGATTCTTTAAATTTGGCAAAGACTGAATGTGTCATGTTAACCACCAGATGGCATTACATGAACTGTATTTAAGTGAAGTGTAACAGCGTCACTGTTCAGTGTTGTGTCTCAAACATGTAGGTGTGGTGTGTAAGAAAAATGGCAGTTATTGGAGTCCCCCGGGGAGGCGGCCGTGGTCAGTTGTCGTTGGACAGTATGTCCAGTCCGTTGGACCGGATTGCCGGTGCGTTTCTAACTTTTGATAGATCGAGTATAGAGATTTCTTTACAGAGAAATTGATCACACGTGGAAATGAGAAAAATCGGTGTTGTCTTCTTTCCTTTGGCAAACCTTCGGAATGTGAATTACTGAAGACTGTGATAGGCACAATGTCGCGTTTCTTAGAGAGGCTTCCACACTGTTCTTTTACTTTTTAATTTATGTTGAGCAACAGTTTTCATCTTTTAATTTGCCTTTTGACCAGATTTTTTTTTACTATAGCCAGATAAAATAAAAATGGGGGTTTTAATGAGAATTTTACTAGAGACATTCTGGAATATTCACATAATTTCACTTTGCCTTTGTCAGTGTAGCTTTGTGAGTTTTTGACCTTCATTGGAAAAGAGTCTGTTTTGGGTCAGAAAGTTTTCTTCCGTCTCCGGGGAGGTGTCTGAGTGTTTATCGTAGCACACGTTGTTCCTGCTCAAATTGTATCTGTTATCGCAGTACGATCAGTGCTAATGTGTATGATGTTTCATAGTATTATGTAGATGAGATGCCACTGTGTGTCAGGTGGCTTCTGATATAACTGTTGGTCACGGTGAGCAGTCCTGTGTCTATTCAGTGCTGTCTGTTGGCTCCTGAGAGTGAGGGTTAGTTTTCCATATTTAAAAAGCTGGAAGTCCGTGAATTTTGAAAAAGTTGGAAGTTTGTGAATTTTGCTCTGTGATAAGTAGTCATTTAATCAAAAATTATTTCTTAGAATTGGTCAAGAAATGCAGTTTCACACTAAAATGTTTAGAATTTAAGGGCACGAGGGAGAAAATGGCAGTAAGAAATCTTTTTGGTTATCATTTGTTTTACAAAGTAGAGAGTGAACTCAAGGCAGCTGCACAGTGTAAGGAAACTTAGCTCAACATCTCTCCGTGTTGGCTTATCACTAGCTTGTCACCACAGGGAACTGCAGAGTCCTTCCCATTTAACCAAAAACAAGCTTGAATGGCTGCGATGGGTCACTGCTGAACAGTCTTTTTAAAAGGTTCGGATTCCTAAAAATTTAGTTACCAACCACATTGCCGCACTTTCACTTTTACTTAAAAATACTCTCTCTCCCAGCTTGTGTTATAAAAAATATGATCCGTTAAATCATAACAAAGAAGGCATTGTAGCTTAAGAAATTAATCCTTTGGAAACCTTTGAGAAATTCTGGTAACTTTAGTTTATATGTACAGTAACAAAATAAGTCTTAATATTTAGTCTATTAAATACTGTGTAGGGGTTTGTCAGTTATTGGGTCTAGAATCTGCTGCCACTGGGCTGTGAGAAAAGATTTCTGTTTTACTGCTTTTAAAATGCAAGGAGCTTTCAGCCGGGTGATGGGTTTAAGGAGTGGTGGCGATAATGGGGGACAAAGGGTGGTTTTGGTTGGAGAAATGGGTGCCTGTGGCCACTCCAAGTCTTCCTATAATTTTACCCCAGATTGTTCGATCTCCCAGCTTAAAGTCTCCTTCTCTAAGCATTCCCTCCCCTCAGAAAGTCTCCCCCCATTTTTAACTACAATTGATGACGTGTAAACGTGTGTGGGAAAAAGGTTTTTGCTGTGTCTGCCTGGGTGGCCCGTAAATTTAAGAAGCACGCCTGCTGTCGGAGTCAGAGTGAGCAGATCTCGGTGGTGACCTGTGACGACGTGTGTGAGGGGAGGTTTCCAATGCAGAAGGGAAGGCTTGTGTTAGGCCTGCAGGGCTGCGCTGGGCCTGGGGGCCCGCCCACATGGCCTCATGTGAACCATGGAGCGTCTCGCCCTGGGCCTGGGGGCCCCTGAGGCCTGGGCAGCCCCGGAGTCCCCGCCAAGCCTTGAGTTCTGCTTCTGCCCAGTGCCGCTGGGCTTTTGTTTGGGCGTTTGCTTCATTGCCACTGCCCCCGTGGTTGATCCCGGATCCCTGCATCCTTCCTGTGAGGAGTGAAAGATTACTCCAGTACGTGCCTGTAGATTGAATTGTCATTGTGATAAATTAGTATTTCCATTTTTTTGTTGTTTACAAACAGTGCTGCTTGAGAGAGTTGCAGACAGAGGCGTTAGATGTCTTGCGTGTCGTAGACACCATGCGAATTGTTCGCTGCAGCTGGTCTTCCTGTAACTCGCTCCCTGCAGGTACACCTTGGATGAGTTCGGCACGGCCAGAAGGAGCACCGTGGTCCGCGGGTTCATCGACGCCCTGACGAGAGGGGGCCCGGGGGGCACGCCCAGGCCCATCGAGATGCACTCCCACGACCCTCTGAGGTACGGTCCCCGGGCGGTGTCGGAGTGCCCGATGTTTTCGGAAGGGACTCTTCGCTGATGCGTGCTTTTTCCACCAGGTACGTGGGAGACATGTTGGCGTGGCTCCACCAGGCGACCGCGTCTGAGAAGGAACACCTGGAAGCTCTCTTAAAGCACGTGACCACGCAAGGTGGGCGCCCAAGTGTTGTCGCTGACGCCTAAACGCAGACAACAGCACAGCTGAGTCTGTTTCTGTTCTTGCCCTTGACTCGTCCCGGAGGCAGCTTCTCACACCTGTGTGCACAGTGCGCTCCCTGCCTGGTCCCCGTCTGCTGGTGTCCCCGTCTCTGCTGATAAGCCGGCTCTCCACACCTTTCACCCCGTCACACAGCCCTTCACACTTCGTGGTGGCCCCTTACGACCTTTGCATCAGGCCTGGGCTCCTCTGTGTCACGCACAGGACGCTGCCTCGGCGCACACTGTCCCAGGTCCTCCACGCCGCGCACTGTGAGGGCGAAAGGCGGTGTCACCGGCCCTTCAGCGGGGAGGGGACAGACTGCAGGCGTATTACAGTCATTACGCTGCTAGTTCTTTCTTTCACACTACCCACCCCCCTTTTCACGGTCACGTGGCAGCGTGAAAATTGTTTTGAATAATTACCTATGTTCCAACTGCAGTTTCAGCTTTCCTTTCAAGGAAGAAAAATGACTTTTTTTAGTTGCTTACACTTTCGCTCACAGATCTTCATTGTGACTACCTTGAGTGCTGTAAAGGGGACTGACGGATAGTGAAGGTGTTCTGGGTTTTTTATTTCTTTTGAAAGGTTTTATTTAATGACTGTTACAGAGAGGGGAAGGGAGGGAGAAAGAGAGGGAGAGAAACATCAATGTGTGGTCGCCTCTCGCATGCCCCTCAGCCAGGGACCTGGCCCGCAACCCAGACATGTGCCCTGATGAGGGATTGAACTGGGACCTTTCGGGTCCTGGTACGACGCCCATCCCACTGAGCCACCCCAGTCAGGCAAGATGTCTTATTTCTGCTGGGAAGTGGAGAGAAGCACGGTGACTGGTGTCACTTCGGCCTCTACGTAGCGTGGCTCCCCTCCATTCTGGCTCAGGAGAGCTCTGCAGAGGCGGCCAGGTGTGGATTGGTGGCAAGGCCTAACCTCCCATTTTTAACTCCTTGATGCGAGGGTTAGACCAGCCGCAAACCTGTTGGAGTGACGCAGAGTCTGTGCTTTTTAAAGGTGTTTTCTGTGTTCCCGATTACCTAGTGTAAGGGAGTATATTTCTTAAAAGCTGTTCCAGTGAAGTTAATGTGAGAGGCAGCGTTAAGTGGTGCGAAGAAAAGACACGGGTTACATGAAACAGGTTATTCTGCGGGCGTGGCCGAGCTCGTCTAGGACTTGGATTTACCATCTGAAAAATGAAGTGGGTCAGACCCTGGCCGGGCACCGTAGTCGGTTAGCGCGTTGCCCTCGATTCGCCTCGGTTGCAGGTTTGGTCCTGGGGTGGGGCACGCACGGGAGCCAACCGGCACGTGCGTAATTGAGTGGCACAACAAATCCGTGCTTCGCTCTCTGTCCCTCTCCCCTCCTCTCTCTCTAAGCATTAATAAATAACACAGAGAAGGTGGCTGTGAGCAGTAAATGTCAAGTCTCCAGCACCGAGCTTGATAAACAGTATCTAGGAGATGTCAGCTTTCTCATTAGCTCGCAGGTGTGGTGTTCATCTTCTGACCTCGGTGAGTGTGCTGTTCCTCACTGCCTGGGAGGAGGTGTTCGTAGAACAAAAGCTGATACATCTTCACGTCTCTTCCTCCAGTTACTACATTTTACAGCCGTCTTTCCCTGTGACTCATGTGTTCAGTTTCTCACAAAGCAGCGCTTTGTTCATCAACAGTTAGATGAATTGACGTGGCTCTAAGCTCAGCTGTTAACATAAATAGTCATGTCCTAAGAGATATGAACTGAATGAACTATGAATAAGGTTATTTAAATGTTTGTTATTAGTGCCAGTAATCATATGCACTATTTTTTGAAGTTGATAAACTGATTTTTTTAATTGTTCAGTTACAGCTGTCCCCATCTTCCCCCGTTACTCTCCCCTGCCCACCCCCCCCAGTCCCCCATCGTTTGCATCATTGTTTGCTGGTTTGTAAGTGTCTGTGAAGCAGAGTGCACTGTGGAAAGAGTCTTCCTCTGACTCGAGAACTCATTGCAGGTGTTGAAGAAGACATCCAGGAGGTTGTCGGGCACGTCACTGAGGGCGTGTGCAGGCCACTGAAGGTGAACGCTGCAGTTTTTTGTGTGTTATGTGGTATCGGGCTAAATGGTTGCCTTATTACGAGTTTAAACATGCTGATAACGGCTTGAATTAAAGCTGTGATTTCGCCAAATTAACACATTAATGTAGGATAATAAGATACATTTAAAAATAATTATTGTCAGTTTTCTCTTTAGGAAAGAAAACTTGAAGCATTCTCTGTTTGCATATATTACCGATTATGTTTCCCATAGTAATTTGTCAGTCAGCTGAGAAAAAGTTCATTAAATTGAAGTAACTAATTTCTGAACCCATAACAGATTTACTGACATATTCCATTTACTTTATTGCTTCAAGTATAGTAAATTTATTATAGCAAAAAATAATGTTTAATCCAAGCATAGTACATCTGTGTGATCACCAATACTATTTATAGTACAGGGGAGAGAACTCGAAGTCAGAACTAGAATTCCCGCACTGCAGATTAGTTGTGCTTGCCCCTTCCCATCGCCCACGCCTTCTGCACCTGAGTTTGCTCACGTCCGTCGCACCTGGCTGGACAAACACCTGCCAGCGAGGGTTGCGGGGACCGACTGAGACGGCTGTGCGGTGGAGCGCACGTGGTCTCCGGCAGGGACTGGGTGACGGGGTTAATTAGTGATATAATTTAAGTCCCTATCGAAGCCTTGGCGTTAGAAAGAAGTTTTCCTATGAACATTTTGGTTTTTAAATTCAGATGCTGTTCATGATTTGTAATATTGTGGTATTAGCTAGATTAATTTATGCCAACAGATACATCAGTTACATTGACAGTTACATTATCAAAAATGTTAACTATTGGTATGCTCATACATTCGTTTATAAAGTCTTATTCTAGCAAATCCCACTTGTTGGCATTGTGACATTCACAACCTACGTACAGAGAAACCAACTTTCCAGAGCGTTTAGAGCGTTTATGGAGCATCTGTTGCGTGTGTGCTGCTCAGCGGGGGTTGTAGGGAAGGACGCAGAGGACAGGGCTCCCGTCTGGTTGGGGAATGAGATGCAGTGGAAGCGGCAGCTTCAGAGCAGGTGTGGTCCATGAATAAGCACAAGTCAACGTGCTTTAGGTTCTGCTCGCTAATTAGGGAATAGAAAGTAAGGGAAAGAGCGGTGAGGGGTGTTCAGTTAGGACAGATTCCTGCTGGTTAATCTCGAGACAGATCAAATTAATCTTGAACTAGAGCTAATAAAGCCCTGGTCAGTCTTGTAATTAGACAAATACGTTGGTGCTAATTTAAGATTTATCTGGTCTTCTATTCTCTAATTAATATAAAAAGAAGCTGGGTGTAATAGTTTAAAGATAAAGTTTCTTTCATTCTTTCTCGACTATTCAGTGTGAGAGCAGGGTACATTGCACTGAGAATCTGATTTTAGAGATGTAACGATTTCTTTGCAGTTTAGTGCTGAACTAAATTCCATCATTTACAGGTGAAAAGCCTCAAAGTGCTCTCATTATTGTTTTGATTATTCCTGGTAGCAACTGCCTGGAGCCTAGTTCTGTAGGTGATGGGCAGTTTTCTGGAGAGTATATCTGTGTTGAAGTGTTTTTGTTATTTTACCGTCCCCTATGATTTCATATTCAGAAATGCTTTATTTAGAAGGAATTTTGTGGTTTCTGCAGCAATAAAATGTTGCCATTTTTAATGCTTCTCATAACATGTGATTAGTGAAAAAAAGCTGTGCTTTTCAGAAATGTTTAATATTTTTCTCACATGTTTTAATAGGTTCGGATTGAACAAGTAATAGTTGCTGAACCTGGAGCGGTTTTATTGTATAAAATTTCTAACCTCCTTAAATTTTACCATCACACAATCAGGTGAGTGGAGCGGCTGAACGTGCTCGTTGAGCCCCCGATGCCTGTGTCAGTGAGGACGGCGTGAGGTGCGTGTGCGTTTTCCCTGCCGGCCGCCTGGGTGGGACCGGTGGAGCCCCAGCAGTGGGTGGACGGGGGCCGGCCGTCTGCTCTTCCGCCTGCTGTTCCGGGAGGCCCGACCTTCCCCTTGGCCTTTCTTCTGCAAACAGCCCAGACCCCCGCACCCGCACAGGGACGCGCACACCATGGACGTGACCGTGTGAGTCTCTAGCGATCAGTTAAAGGGATCCGTGGCACCCAGAGCGGTGAGGTGTTGTACTCAGAACAGGATATAATGAGAGAAGTAGCCTGTGCTGGATGTGATAACAAATTCTTTTTTAGCACCTAGTTTCCTATTGGTGACAAAACAGAACCGCAGCTTTGTCTTCCCTAAATAAAGCTGCATTAGCATCTCTAAATAAAAGCTGCCTTAGTATCTCTAAATAAAATCTACTTTATCTGATTAGGAGCCACTTATTTAAAATTTAAATTTTGACTCCAAAATTTGCATTCATTTCACTCTGTGTATGTCTGCTGGTGGTACACATTGGAGCTTTGTTATAAATGTCACCGTAAGGAAGGAGGACTCAGGGACTGCATGGCAGTGTGTGGATGGCTGGCAAAGGGTGGGGTGAGGGGCTGAATGGTAACGGGGAAAAGTACAGTGAAGATTAAATCAGAAGGACTGTGTGATGTGTGTAGTTGTGTTAAAACAGAGTCCGTCAAGCTTTGTTTTTGGTAGTTTCCATGTTAGTCGATTAAAAATGACTCACAGATTACTTTTATCCGGTGCGGCAGCGTCAGGGACAGAATGCCAGGTGCTGAAATCCAATCACTGGATTACTGTAGCCAGCAGATCAGGGAGGGGCGCGGGGGTCACCAGTTGGCAGCCCACCTGCAGACTGGCGGCGATGCCCCTGCCTTCCAGGGGCTGGTGTTCACCTCCCAGATGTCTCAGCCCGGAGGTTACTTCTACTAGAAGCACACGAAAAGGTGGCGGGTTCGATTCCCAGTCAGGGCACATAGCTGTGTTGCAGGTTTGATGGCCTGGTCAGGGCGTGTACCGGAGGCAGCAGGTCCATGTTTCTCTCTCTCTCTCTTCCACCCTCTCTCTCTAAAACTTAGTGAACAAATCATCGGGTGAAGATTTGTTTAAAAATGATTTTTACAAATACAAATGAACAACAATGACTTAAAAAGAGGTGGAACACTAATGGGCACGGGCAGTGGTGTGATTGTTTTCAATTGACAGGTGCCCGTCTGTATAAAAACTCTGATTTAAGTCTAGATCTTTCTAAAGAATTCTTCTCAGAGAGCTGAGCTGTTTCAGCCTGTTTTGCAACCTGAAATATCCTTCGCTTTCAGTGGCATCGTTGGGAACAGTGCAAGTACGTTGTTGACCACCATCGAAGAAATGCATTTGCTCGGCAAAAAAATATTCTTCAACAGCCTGAGTCTTCACGCAGGCAAATTGATGGACAAGGTGTGTTTGAAAAGCATTTCTCAAACCGCGCGAACGCACGTCTTTCACATTTAATGTTTTGCTTTTTCACATGAGTCACGATGTTTACCCGTTCCGTACGCTGTTCTTCTGAGTTCTTCCTGTGAACACAGATTCATTTTGGGATGGCCAACTGGAGCCAGGTGAACAGCCTGTGTTCCGGGAGCAGAAAACGTTGGGTCCTAAGTGGAGATAGAATCTCAAGCCCGAAAGTAGGGCTAGAGATTCACCACTGTTTTCCTGGAACCAAAATTGTGTAACTAAACCAGACTTACTATATTGAGGTCAGGGCTAAAATGACACACAGACCAGAAAGCTGGAACTCTTAGTAAATGTTTTTTCTAAGCGGCTTACTTGTATTTTTACTCTCTGATGATCCAGCTTTGTCCTTACGAAATTTATGCTGTTTTGAGTTAGGTACTATAATTAATTATGAAAACAAACAAAATAACAACTTTGCCCCCAAGGAATACAACCAGTTAACAGCCGGAGCCTGAAAGAATCCCACCAGAGCTAGTATTTTAAGTCGAGCAGTGTCATGCGGCAGAACCAGAGGGATGGGTTTATAATGATCAAACTCTTAGTTTTGTTTATTGTTTTATTCTTTTAAAAAACAACTGTGCTATAACACATTCCACGTAATTTTTAAGGACTCAGGTTTTTAATGGGTTCATCCGAGCCCTACGCTGGTTTCTCCTTCTCCTTAGTCACAGTGCTGTGTGCGTAGCTGCGTGGTCAGGCGCCGGTTGGTAGGAGAGTGCAGGGCAGAGCGTGGCAGTCCCGTCCTGGCACCGGGCCAGGCTCTGTGTCCTCTCCCCCGAGCGCCTGAGGGGCGCTTTCCCTTCTGGCGCCGTACTGATCAGACCCATTTGGAGGGCAACACGACGTGTGGAGCTGGAGTGTTTCTCTTACATTTTTTCCTGCTTTATGTGTTTTTGTTTGCACAGGAAGTGACTAACGGTCATTCAATTCTGGTTATGTTTACCTGTGTAGAGGCAGTTACTTACACGCTGACATTCAGTGGGAAAACGTAAGCAGTGGATAACTAACCATACCTCGTTTTAGGTCGAACTCCCCCCGCCTGATCTTGGGCCAAGTTCCGCCTTAAATCAGACGCTCACGTTGCTGCGTGAAGTCCTGGCATCTCACGACTCTTCAGTTGTACCGCTGGATGCCCGCCAAGCTGATTTTGTGCAGGTATGTTATAAATTTATTTTTAATGATTGCTTATTACTCCTCTGTGGGAAATGCTGTTGAAATTCGGGTATTTTTGACCCATATATTTTTGGCAAACGTTCTCACTGATTTTTTCTGCAAATATTAAATCAGTTCTCTCTAATTTAAAAAGTGTTTGCTCAGTGATGCTCATTTGAAAAACCCTTCTGGTAATCGTGCCCATCGCTCTTGCTCTCAGGTGCTTCTGTGAGTGGCCCCTCCTAGTTATAGTCTGGCTTTGTTCTCAATGGCCCCGAACCCAGGCCCGTGTCACTGGTGGGGAGTTAAAGAGATCGCTTTATTCTGTTTCTCCTCGGTAGGTCTTATCGTGTGTCCTGGACCCCCTCCTCCAGATGTGCACTGTGTCCGCCAGCAGTCTAGGCACTGCCGACATGGCCACGTTCATGGTCAACTCGCTGTACATGATGAAGACAACACTGGCCATGTTCGAATTCACTGACCGGCGCCTGGAAATGCTACAGTTTCAGGTGGATTTTGCCATAAAGTGACAGCTCACTGTGATGGAGTCCTTTTTCGAGATGCGGTCTCAGTTACCGGCTTCACGCCCTAATTCCTGCAAAGCCTCTGTTAGTCCGAGGAAGGCCACACACACTTGTCCACACACACATGCATGTGTGTGCTCATTATTTTAGTCTCGTGTTGGAGGAGTCAGGTTGTGTGGTGGGTGAGGTCATGTTGTATCCAAACCACGGTTTGTGATGGTGGCAGAAGCTTTTCTGGTGAGTGTGAGCCATTGCTCTGTGTGCAGAGTTCACCTTTCGGGCTGTGGCTAACACGCCATGTTTCCCAGCTGGGAGGCCAGTGCAGGAGATGTCTCGGAGGACAGGTGCGTTTTTGTCTGCTTGTGAACCAGCGTCCGGCGAAACGGCGCACCTCCTTATACCACTCACTCCAGTCCTTGAACCCAGTGGTGTCTCTTGGGGTTGTATAAAATGGCTAAAGCAGAGCCTTTTATAAAATTTACCAGATGCTTGGGTTCTGATTTTGAAACAGTGGTTTTGGCACATACAGTTTTTAAGAAACTTTGTTGTATCATCACCACTGCGTAAATAGCATGGCAGTGGCTGCAGCAGGAAATGCATTTGTAAGGTTCTGGGGTTTTTCAGGGGGACGAGTGCCTCCGTCTAAATCTGCGATGTTTTCTGTTTGACAAGAAATATAATGAAGTATGCTTAGTTTTCCTTTCTCGCATAACTTTTTAACGTAGAGTTAATGAAAGTCTTTTTACAAATTGTTATTTTTTTACTGCATTTATGACTAATGCAACTCCAGATTCTTCCTTTTGTCTAAATCTTTTCTCAAGATGTCCTGGTAATTACCAGGCGGCTGTCGTCTGCTTTTCACCAGTCCCCTGCATTTCTTAATATTCATAGACTCTTTTTTGCATTTCAGGAGAATAGGCCCTGCTGAGTCTATGCCATTAAACATGTACTTGCATCCTGCCTGTCTCCCGGCTGTTGGCCAGCCGCCTGGACGGGCCCGCGGTCGGTGTGGGGAAGGACCGTAGGAGGACGTGGAAACCAGGAGCCTGGGCTGGTTCACCCTGCAGAGTAGCGGCTTGTCTTGTTGAATTAAAGATCCTCGATTTTCAGACCTTCGTTTCTAATCCTGTTAACTTTCTTCTATTCTCAACTTAGCTTCATTTAGTGTTTCAAGTGAGAAGTGCAGGCTGGTGTTTTTCTTTTGTGTGGGGTCATTTGTCCCGTCCTTCTGGAAGAGTGTAAGGGTTTTCTCTGGGCTCAGCCGTTTCCTCAGGATGTTTTTTGGTGTGTCCCTTGTCCCGTTAGTTCCATCTTGGACTTTTCGGAGCCATTTCAGCCAGAAGATTCAACCCTTTCTTCTGCTCAGTTAGGTTTTCCATTCTCTTCAGTTAATTATCACTGCTCCTCCTGTTACTTTTTGTATCCTGAAGCTCCTGCCCTTCCTTGGCTTTAGCTCCTGAATCTATGTTCCAATTTCTTTTTAAATCTCTTTACTTTAACCAATTTCTCTAATGTTTACTCTGTATTACTTTTCTTTCATTTTTCTTTTAGATACTAATTTGATTTTTATCTGTAACCCTGTCATTACATGTTCACATTTGCATGTCTTGTTTTTCTTAGATTTCCGGTAAGTCTAGTAAAGTAAGGATTCTAATTTTACTTCCTTGGGCATCACTTAAAAAAAATAAAGTACTTTGTTTTTCAGTAGCGTTGCCTCACAAAGAGATACCTGTCTGATTATTGAGATGGGCTTTCTCCTAGTACCTGCTCACCTCGTTCAAACCGGCCGTGACTCTGTGGCTCGGCTCATGGAGCGACTTGGGTGGCAGGCACTCGGGTGGTGGCGGCGCAGCCAGTGCTGTGTCATTGGCGGACAGACCGGCGGCGCAGCTCGCAGGCCTGGACTGGCGAAAGTGAGGGAGCAGCAGACTTCTCCCCCAGGGGCTACTTCACCCTAGTAGGGGCAGTTCCCTTCTGTGGCCTCGCCTCCATGAGTATCAGGTGGCCCCCAAGACAGCACAGAGGCGTTTGCAGAGGGCGCGTTTGATTGCTGGGGTGGTTCCAGCAACCTGGGAGGAGTGGGTTGGTGGGGGGAGGTTAGGAACGTCAGGTCCTCGTCTTCCAGAATTCTTCCTAAGTGCTGTGTTTTACACTGCCGTTTATTAGTGTTTTTGCTCCTTTGTTCGTGTCTTGCTTACTACCAGCTTGTAAAACAGCTGAGAGGCAGCCCAGAATTTCTGAGGAGTGGCTGCTGTTGGTATCCTCTTTGACTGTCATCTTTGAAAGCAAGACCTTCCCTCCTTTTAGAGGACTCTCTCGTTAGGGGAAGGAGGTGCCTGTGTCACGGGGGCAGTCCCTGCGCCGTACAGCCTGGTCTCACAGCCACTTCAGGGAGCAGCCCCGTGGCGAAGAGCCGCGACTGCAAGGTAGTCAGTCTATTTCTCTTGTCTTATGATTCTTAAAATAGTCTCTTTCTATGTGTTTTATTTTAGATTGAAGCACATTTGGACACCCTTATAAATGAGCAGGCTTCTTACGTGTTAACTAGAGCAGGCTTGAGTTACATCTATAACACCATCCAGCAACACAAACCGGAGCAGGTAAGTGTGAGATGTTCCTAATGGAAGGCACGTTCCAGCGCAGAGTCTGGGTTCTGGAGCTAGACTCAGGTTTGAACCTTGGCTCCGCCACTTGCTAGCTGATTTTCACTCAGAAAATGGCGTTGCTGTGTTTCCTCCCCTGTAGGTGAGGGGCAATGAACTGTGTGTCTAGGCTGGTGCTGGGAGCGGTATAATGCACTCGTAGTTCTTGGGCGATTACTGGCATGCCCCGAACCTGGATGGAGTGCCCTTTTTATTATTGACAGCCCAGGTTCGAAGTAATGAAAACAGACACAGATTAGTGTGATAAAATACACGAAGACTGCTCATTCGGGAAACATTTGTGTCTCGGGTAACTGTCAGTTGATTGGATGCGCTGTGTACACAGAGTCGTGCCTGTTTGTGTAGTGAATCCTGGTCTGCGACTCTGGGGAGGTGGAGGCTTCTGTGGCCAGCAGCTCACGACCTTGTTAAGTTGCAGACCCCCAGTGTGAGTAGGTGATGGAGTGGGGGGGACTCTCAAAAACCTGGGAAACATCATCTTTAAAATCCAGAGAACGCTCTTCCATCATGTTCATATGAAGAATATTTTACAACCCAGGGTTCCCAAACGAAGCTCTCAGAAATCCCAAGTTCTTAATGTTTTCTTTTGATAAAGAAGGAGGCAGGTCCCTGCCACAAGGAACCAGTTCTGTTGTCTTTTCACTACGATCGAAAATCGTCCGAGTTTAACCTCAGAGCCTCCGTGGCTCGTTGTCGTTTCCTGAGAGCTTCTTTCCCTTTTTGTTCTTCCTTTTGCTCATGAGTAAGTCCGAGGTGTCCCGGTTCTTCCATTGTTAGTAACCGTACGTGCTCGTCACTCCCACAGCTCTCGGGCTACTTACACAAGGACGAGCGGGCCCCCGTCTCCTCACTGCGGTGGGGGAAGTGGCCCCCGGGTTCTCTGGAAATGAGCTAAACGTCCCAATGCGGGCAGGACACCAACAGACTGTATTTCGTAAATGAGGAGAAGTGCGTGTTTTCCACATCTTGTCTTTTCTCTTGGCCTGTTTTTATTTTTTAGGGTGCTTTAGCTAACTTGCCCAACCTCGACTCGGTGGCCCTGAAGGCCGCGATGGTGAGTGTGCCATAAAGCGTTTCCGTACAGGTTTCCTTACGGAATGCTGTTCTTTTTAAAATTCGATTTGCATTTTATTCTTCTATTACAGTTTGTATTCAACGTTATTCTGTATTACTTTCAGGTGTAAAGCATAGTGGTCAGATGATAACATACTTTACAAAGTGACCCACCTGATATTTCAGGTGCCCACTAGCTGTTGTCCATTACTGTGCATGATACGTAGTTGTTCCCGTGGGTTCCCCGTGCTGGACCTCACATCCTTGTCACCGACAGACGGTGGATTTTAGAGAGGAAGGTAGACTAGAAATCTGGTGACTCGGCTTCTTGTTCTATTACTGCTCAGAAGCTTGGTGCGGGAGATGAAGGTGAAGGGCTTGGACTCGGAGTTTTAAAAGTAGGTGCTACTTGCTGGATATTGGCCAATTTAAAAAGGGAGTGTAGTTAAAATGTTTAAGAAATAACTCGTTTTGATCACAAAGAACTTGCCATTTGGGATATGGGACTGTGGCTAAGACTTAAGCCCCCCGAGAGACATGGCAGGGTACCTGAGATGCCCGTGCCCCCGGCAGCGAGTGCACGCGTCCCCTTCACGTGTCTGTGTCCCCAGGTCCAGTTCGATCGCTACCTCTCCGCCCCCGACAGCCTGCTGATGCCGCAGCTGAGCCTCCTCCTGAGCGCCACGGTGAAGTAAGTGCGTTTCGGTCCCAGTTAGTTGGTGAAGCACCGCGTATTTTTATATACCAAGCACATTTCTTTGAAAAAACATTTATTTGTATGAACAGGAGATTTGGTATTGAAGATCTGTAGTTCTCAACCTTTTTTCTGCCTCAGCACCTCTGAGAGATTTTATCTTACCCTGTTCATACTTATTTCTTGCATGTGTATCACTCCAAAATCTTTATTCAGTGACTGATTTTTTAGATTAGCACGAATATAATTGGAGCTATGTAGCCATAATACTGAGTGACATGGAGTGTGTCGTGGAATAGGAGTGTGTTCACTGTGCAGTGCAGACAAGCCGCCTCCGGGACTGTGGGGGTCTCTGCAGGGTCTGTGGATGGACGGTCAGTTGTTCAGTATCGTATTTTTATCAGGAACGTGTTCGGGACAAAGAACCACGGTTACACACATTAAAGCGTTAGGACATTACAGTTGGGAGAAGTGAGGAGATCATATTTTCCGAAGTGTTTAATTTTAAGAGAAATATTGACAAATCAAAATTGTCCACAAGTAGGAAATTAGGCAACAGTCCGTTTCTTTTCTGTCCGCTCAACCAGCTGTGCGTTACGTGCTTTCTGAGTGACGGGCAGTCGGGATTGAGATGTAGGAGACGTCTGCACTGTCCTCATGGAGATTAAAGTGGGATGGGTCAGTTAGACATGTGGACTCGGATACTTCAGACACCTGGACGGGGGCGGCGGCACGGAGGTGGTGCACGTGTCTCCTGGCGTTTAGAGAGCAGCCCACAGCGGCAACAAGAGCAAGGAAGCAGATTTTCATGCAACAGGAGGAAGAATTGAATTATCGGTTACAACAGGCTGAAGATGGGCTGGACTGTTTTTCTCTTAGACGTAGGGAAGTCCCTTATCAAGTGTGGTTCATGTGATTGCAGTGATGACTTTAATTTTTTAAAAAATTTTATTTATCTTTAGAGGGGAAGGGAAGGAGAGAGGGAGAGAAACGTCAATGTGTGGTTGCCTCTTGTGTGTCCCCTGCTGGGAACTGGCCTGCAGCCCAGGCATGTTTCAGTACTCAGTACGGGAACGTCCAGTTGTGTGAATCGTCACTGAATAGAGAAGATGCTGTTATTTTCATAAGATAGAGTTTGAGGGGAGATTCTAAGGTGTTTCAAAGAGTGGTGTGTAGCCCCAATTCTACTGCAGTGAACAGTATCGCAATATTGTGAGTATCGCAATAAATTGAGTCATAATCATTTTTCTGGTGAAGGGTTTTGCCTTCATTTTATTAACCTGCAACATCTGTGAAGCACAATTAGGCAAAGCAGAATAAAACAAGGTCAGTTTGTACAAGTAAGAAAAGCAGTTTATTATAAGTTATTCTGGGATTTGAAGTGTTGACAAGTTTGAGTGGTTATAAGCCTCTTTCTGTGACGTGTTACCGGTCCCGTTTGCAGACTCAGTGCATTAGTGGTGGGTCGCGCTGCTGGTTCGCGGGTGTGTGATCCGCTACGTGCGGGGCGCTCCTGCAGCCCTGAGGACACAGCAGTGAATGGACACAGCCCTGCCCTCCTGAAGCCTGCATGTGGACGGGGAAAATTTAACAAAGAAATAACGAACATAAAAATGTTCTCAACCCCCAACCAGGATAAGTAACTTCTGTAGAAGTCCGGGGAATTGTTAACATTACCAATGTGATAATTACCGTCACATCGATAATATTTTCAATAATAATTGCCAACAGTAATTCTCAATGTGCAGTGCAAGGTTCAGCTACAGATCTTTCCCCCAGTTCTGAGGGAGCGTTTGAAGGCTGTGTTTTCACACTCGCGTCTTCCCGCCCAGGGAGCAGATCCTGAAGCAGTCGACAGAGCTGGTCTGCAGAGCCTACCGGGAGGTGTACGCTGCCGTGACGAGCCCGGCCAGCGGCTACAGAGACCCCGAGAGCATTCTGCTCCGGTCCCCGCAGCAAGTGCAGACCCTCCTCTCCTGATCCCGTCGTGGGACGGTAGCCGAACGCCGCCCCCCTAAAGCGCCGGGGCAGTTTGCTCGGTTTCTAGTCTGTTCATCTTCACGTTGAGCTTTGGTGATTACAGTTTTCTTTGCATCATAAGATTGTAAGTCCCAGTAATTGCTTTCTTTGGTCACAGTAACGTGCGGGTACGTAGCACACGCGGATCCGCGTTAGTGCTGCTCTGTGTCCGCTGCGTGGAGAGATGCTCTGCTCTCCGCTGGCCGCCTCTCCGCCCCTGCCATTCCCCTCTTCTGGAGTAGAACGCCGTGAGGGCCCGCAGTGTGAGAGGTTTGGGGGGTCTTCTAAGATTGATTTTACATTAACTGTCCATAAAAAGTTAAACTTAACAGGACCTAATAAATGTCTCTTTACTTAGAAATTCATTTTTGATCTCATTAGTTATTAATCTGAGTAGTGTACTTGAACTGAGGGGCAGAAATATACACTGAGAAAAACAGGGGAAAAGAGAGAGAAATCATTGAAACACGATATGCCCTGGGCTGAGTTCAGTGTGAGGTTGAGGTGTGCAGCATGTGAGTCTCACGTTGAAAGATAGGTATTGGTTATACAGTGCAGACTCGAAACTCAGCCAGGCACAGCTTCTGTCTGAAGTTCAGACCAAAGACATAATGATCTGCTCTGACACTGGGGGGAAATGGCAGTGTGGCCATTGCCGATCGACAGAACGGATGTCTGTGTCCGTGGAGGCCTCTTACCGGGGACAGTCGGGTTGTCAGGTTAGTACTTCTCGTGTGACCTTGCCTAGTTGGGAATATTTTGAGGAGAATTCTTACTAGCAAAATATGTTAATTTCTGGTAAATCCACAGAAAGCAGTAGTTCACCAAATTATAAATGAGAAAATTGAGGCATAGGGAGAAGTTAACTGGATTAAGATATTTTGAAAAGCAGTAACGTGAAATTAAAATTTGTATAACAAATATGTAACAAATTAGCATTTATAGAACATGGTGTATTCATCTATCTGAACTTCATAATTGTTTATATTAATATGATTCTTTGGGAGCAAGAAGAGTAAATGTTCCCTCTTGTTATAAATCTGTATTTTCAGTCTTTTTCCTTCAATTACTTTGTGTGACATATAAAAGATAGAAAATAAAGTAGTATATAAATCAAGAGCTTAAATTTTAGATAATTTATTTTTACTGTGAAAAAAGATGACTACCTTATTAATAGTGAATTCCTTGGTTTTCTAAGGAAAAAAGTGGATTTGACCTTTTACCTGCTTTTCCAAATAAAATATTAAACTACTTCTAGAGCAGTGATTATAGCAGTGTTTTTTTTTACATCTTTTTAAAGTATTTTTTAGAAAATGTACTGATGGAAAAGGAAGTACAATATGGGGTCAAATTGAAATAACCAATGGAAGATTGATGTGGAGAACGTGGTATCAATATAACCTTGATGCTACGTCAAAGTAAGAGACTATAAGTGTTAATTCATCAGTGTAAGACTTTCATTTGCCATAACTCTCTGTAGTTCACATTTGAACTGTTCTGAAGTGGCGTAAGTAGAACCTTAGACGATGCAGGCCAGCTCTTTCCTTCAGAGAGAAAGGTATTTGGCAAAGTCTAGTTGAACTTTTCCATTTCTTTCTCTGGGCCTTTCCTGGAACAAGTGAATGTTCAAATTGAAAATTATAACCAGAATTTAAGAAATTCACTACAGGAGCTCAACAGTAGATCCGCGCAGGCGGGAAGAAGAATCAGCAGACTTGGAGGGAGGTCATTGGGATTTCCCGTCTGAGAAACGGGGGGACAGGTGACAAAAGGGAAGGAGCAGGTTCCCAGGGGCCTGCGGGGCATCATCAGCAGTGCACATGCAGTGGGCGTCTCCAGAGGGGAAGAGAGGAAGAGAGGGGCCAAAAGATTATTTGAAGGAATATCGACAGCAAACTTTCCAAATTTCACTTAAAAAACATTAAAATACATATTCAAGAAGTTCACGAAACTCCAAGTAGGATAAACTCAAAGAGATTCACACTGATACATATTGTAAACTATCAAAAGCCAAAGACTAACAAGGAATCTTGGTAACAGCAAGAGAAATAACCATCATATCTCAAAGATTCTCATTAAGATCAACACCCAGTTTATCATCAGAAACTGTAGAGGCTGGAAGGCATTGGGTGATACAGAGTTGAAAGAACAAAGCTGTTAACTTAGGATTCTGTACCCTGGAAAACTGCCTGTGAAAGTACAGGCAGAATTAAGACATTCCCAGATGAATACTTCACCTTGCCTGTATGAATGTCAGAGGAAGTTCTTGAGTCTGAAATGAAAATATATAGAAAGTAAATCAATAAAACAAGGAGTAGCAAAGAAATAGGAGGTTTGGGCAACACCATAGACTAGCTAGAATTAATAGATGTCTATATAACAACAGCAGAGTCCGCATTTCTCTCAAGTGCACGTGCCATGTTCTCCAAGATCACATTAGGACAAAATCCACATCTCCAAGATTAAAATTAGACCAGGTCTGTTCTCCAGCTACAATGACATGAAATGAGAGATCAGTAAGAAGGGATATAAATATTTGGAAATTCAATAAGACACCCTTAAAATAGGCAGGGGGTCAAAGGAGAAATCGCAAAGGAAGTCAGAGAAAACTTTGAGATGGATGCAAGTTTGGCATGCAACAGCAGTCTATTCTTAAGGAGGCAGCCAAAACAGTGCCCAGAGGGAAGTGTTTAGCCTACATTAAAGAAAAAGAAGTTAACCAAATCTCACACCATAAAAATCTAGAAAGAAGCAAAAAAGGAAATAAAATTGTAACAGACATAGAGAAGATACAGAACAGAAAAATAACATTTCAGTGACTGGGTGTTCAAACTATTTTGTAACACATGTTGGAATACAGATATTTGAACACATGTAAAAATGCTGTTTTAAAATTTTTCTCGCACAGCTGTTGAGGAGAGTGTTATTTCTGAGACTGTTTGTGCCGAGCATCATGTGGTGCAGACAGACAAGTGTCTAAAGACACGTGTAAGAAGATGCTTCTGGGGGAGGGGTCCCTGCTCGGTCATGTGGAGAACAGTGTTACTGCAGTTGTTGGGTGTGCTTACCGTGAAGTGTTGCATGGTAAAGTATTACCATGTAGAAAGGTGTTTAAGTATATACAAAAACTGTAGGAAATTTGATATAAAAATTAAAAAATATAAAAATATTCCTATATATAAAAAATACAGGAAAAGGAAATTTGGTTCTTTGAAATGATAAAACAAAAATTGACTAGCCTTTAGCTAGATGGACCAAGAAAAAGAGAGTAGACTCATATTACTAAAATCTGGTATGAAAGAGGCGACATTACAACTGAACGTACAAAAATAAATAGGATAACAGAATGATGAATAATTATATGTCAACAGTAAATAATAGAGATGAAATTCACAAATACCTATATAACCTCAAACTAAACTGATTCCAGGAGAAATAGAGATTCTAAATAGACCTATAGCAAAGAAACTGAGTCAGTAATCTACATTTTCAACAACAAAAAAAACCTTCAGGTTCACATGGCTTCACTGATGAATTCTACAAAATGTTTAAGTAATATGAATCTTTATCAAATTTTGAAAAAAAACTACCCCCAGAGTTAAACAAACAAACAAAACCAGAGGGAGCACTCTCTAACTTACACTATAAGGGCATTATTTGTTATTCATATAACAAAGCCAGCAAAGGCATCACAAGGATACTACTGACCGATATCCCTTATGAATGCAAAGTCCTTAAAACACTAGCAAATAGGATTGTCTGCTACAACCAATGGATTTATTTCAGGGACAGTTTAGGTCTGTTTAACACAGGAAAGTTAATCAATGCATTAACAGAAGAAAGGAAAAAGATGATTATCCCAGCAGATGAAGAAAAAGCATTTTATAAAATCTAACACCTTTTCATGATTAAAAAAATAAACAGTGAACTAGGAACAGAACGGAGAGTCCTCAAACTGTTACAGGACATTTATGAAAAACCCGCAGCTCACATCACGCTCAATGGTGAAAAACACAGCTTCCCCCCTGAGCTCACAAGCAAGCTATGGATGTCCGTGCTAGCCACTTCCGGGCCATGTTGTATTAGGAATTCTAGTCAGGGTAATTAGGTAAGAAAAAGGAACAAAAGGCACTTGGGGAAAGGAAGAAGTAAAGCTATGTCTATTGTAGACAGCAGGGTCAAATATACATAAAATCCTAAAGAGGAAAAAAATCCACTGTAACTCACAAGTGCGGCGACATTGCAGTACGGAAGATCAGTATGCAGATCTTTTGTACTTCTATACACTAGCAGTGAACAGTCTGAAAGGTAACAAACCAGCTCCCTTTACAGTAGCCCCACAAGGAGCAACATGCTTAGGAACAGGTGTAACTGAAGAAGTGAAACACCTGTCCACTGAAACCTACAAAACACTGTCAAATGAAAAGTGATGGAGACAAATCTTAGTGCCATTTTAGTGCCATTTTAGAAAGACATTTTAGTGCCATGGATTGGAAGACTTAATATTGGTAAAATGGCAGCACTCTCCAAACTGATAACAGATTCCAAGCGATCTCTATCAAAATTCAAAATTCCATCTGTCCTATTTTTTCCAGAAATGGATAAGCTGACCCTAAAAGTAAATAGGGACACGGGAACGTGAGCAGCGAAAACAGTCTTGAATCTTCTCAGTTTCAACACAACAATGCCACAATGGTCACAACAGTGTGATGCTGGCGAGACAGACATGTAGTTCAATGGAATAGAATTCAAGTTCACAAAGCAGGCCATGCATTGGTTGCCAGTTGACCTTTCACATGGTGGCGAAGACCATTATGGGGGAGAGAATCATCATTTTAGTTAACGGTTCCAGAAGAACTGGAAATTCACATGCAAAAGATTCAAGTTGGACTCATATCTCATACCATATACAAAAATTAACTCATATCAAAGATCTAAATACAAATTTTAATAAAAACTGTAAAATGAGGAAATGCAGATGTAAATCTTTTTAGCCTTGTATTAGGCTATCAGTTTTTACCTTTTATACAATATGGGTTGAGAAATAAATGTCTAAGTAAAAAGCAATCACATAATAATGTTAACATAATAATGTTAAAAACTTGGCAGTAATCTGTTTCTATATTTAGTTAAATATGCTGTATAAAATATTATAGATGGGCCAACATATGGTTATTTGGAGGATACAATTGTATTTAAGTGCAACCAGCTTGAAAATACACATTTATTTCTCCTCAGAGAGAATGTGCTTTTGGAGATGGATAATATAATTTGCATTTATGGATAATATAATATGTATTTTTATAGATCCAAATATAAAGTTACTATATATTAGCTAAGAATATAATAATCATATTCATAATAG